GGCGAAGTTGGAGCTCAGCGACATCTGGGGGCACCAAGTTGGCTACCTGTGTTGTGTAGAAGAACCAGAATTATTTATGGAAGTGTTGCATTGACATCACTGTTCCGTTGTGTCTGTAGTTTGTCTTCTGAGGCCCTTCTCTATGTTCCCTCCCCAAAAGGTTCGGAGGGTGACAACACAAGAAAGGGCCTTTTTTGTTGTGGCTCCCCGTTCGTGGAATGCTCTCCCCAGATGCTTTCCCAACCCGTTGTGGGTGTGTGGGAGAGGAGACCCTTCCATGAACTACTGTGCTGCTCCTGGCGGCCTCCCGATTTCACTCCAGAGAGCACCCAGAAGCAGAGTGTTGTCTGAACAGGCCGGAGCAGAGAGTCGCAGCAGGTTCCCTCTCTGCCCCGTGTTGTTGTTGACTTGTGTCATTTGGATGCTGCCCTGGCCAGCGGAAGGCCATTGATGTGCCCCGGATCAAAATAGGCTCATGTTTGCAACCTTGTCGTTTTAGATGGATCAGAATTTGCACAATGTCACCGGGCTCTTCCGCGAGTGGGCTTAGCATTGCAACTGTGTTGTTGAGGTATCACAAAAGGGTCCTTAGCAGCAATGATATTTTTCATGGAAAGGGGAAATCTGAGCTAAATGTGGGGAAAATACGGGGTGGCAGTTTTAGGGGATTCTGCAAAATAAGAGCATGCAAAAGGAGCACCTATCTAACACTGATGTCAGGCTTTCTTAGCAGTTTCTCACGCAGGGCAGAAACTGTGTTTTGCTACACAGAGTTTCAAAATACTTTTGTAATTCTTAAGCAAGTCAGAAGCCTGTTGAGTTGAATTAAAAGATCCTGACGGGTGTAAGAAATGTGGGATATTTACAAAAAGCCGCCAACCCAAGAGCTTTAACAGAACAACCCGGCGAGTTTGTCTGTCTTCTGAAAAATGCTGCTTTGAATCATTTAGTGAATTGTTTTGAAAAGTAAAACTCTCAAGAGCACTGGAGGCTTCTGCGCACAAAGAGAATTGGTGGTGTGTGAACGACAAGCGGCTCTTGATGGCTGCAAGCAGACCCCTCGTGCCTTCAAGTGCCTCCCTCCGTCTGCTTTCTTGTGGGGCAGAGAAACTGGCAGGATGCGCCGTGGAAAGCTTTTGCCATTGCGAGATGCTGCACTGGCGTCTCTCCAGAAGCACCAAGGTTTTCTCTTGATGCGTCTCCTGGGAACGGGAGATAGGAGTACAAACTTCTCTGCTGTGAGCAGGAAGGTTCCTTGCGCGCCTGTCAAGATGGGTACATTAACTCTTTTTCATTATTCTGGCTTGTGCTTGTGTCGTGTTTCACTATTCATGGAAGAGAGTTGTATTCAGTAGCAGCAACAATAAGATGGGTATCCCCCTTTGCATCTTCTATAACCTTTTTTGGAAACTCTTATAGTTGCAATACTCATCCTCAGTTGCACCCATTGCAGAGCTGTTGAGGATAGCAAACTATCGTCCCAACTGGAATTTGGTTCCAGTGGAAATAGCATGTTTCAATAATGGACCTGGTGGAGTAGGCTCCATTCCTGAAATCATTTGACCCAAACTGGAGCCTGGCAATTCAGCCATGCCCTCGCACATGTGTGCGACCCACATGGTCTGTGTCATCAGGCAAATCAAAGGTTTGGAACATGGATGCCTTCTTTTGCTTTGGGCAGAGTCTGCCTCCCCTGTGTGGGCCTTGGACACTCTTGAAATGCAAAGGTGCACACTGGTTAAAGGGTGAATTTTCCACATTTTGGGGTTCTCCTCTGTTGCAAATGAACCTTAACCAGTCCTGGGTCAAATCGGGACTTGAAAGCTGTGGATGTTTGGCTGAAATCTTAATCCTTTCACACCAGATACGCTTGGAGTTCAGGCAAGCAAGCCAGACTGTGAATTTTGCTCTGCTGCGTTTGTCAGCAGCTGGTACCGCAGCTGTTGTGTGTGGAAAGCAAAACGGACAAGGAGAGCCTTGTGTGTCTTGTAGATTTAAGTACTATGAAGCGAAAGGCTGGTCAGAGACACCTGTCTGTCTTGGAGTTGCAGGTTCCTGTGCGGGGCTACTGGTGTGGAAACATTACATCTGGGGTGCAAAATAACAAATATGTTTCACATAGGGTAGAAAAGACTATACATATGTAGTATTATTCTAAAAGTGTTATGTGGCATATACTTTTGACTTCCCTTTAAAAAAGCTGTTTACATTTCCATATGAGATTATAGTCCTTTTTGTGTGTGTGGGGGGGTATTTACACGCATTAATTCCTGGCGTAGTAGGTTGAATATTGGCAAAGTCTGCATGTTGTCCCTAATAAAGTTTTCGACACTTCTATCCAGGTTGATGAATATTCATAGGGCTTTCTGGGTAAATTGAAAGTGAATCCATCTGGAATGAGAGTCAGGAGAGAATTATATGTCAATAGCCAGGCTTATTAAATTGATACAAATGAATCGTGTCTTACCTTCTTGTTGTTGGCAAAGGAGGACCATTTTGGAAATCCTTGTAATGTTATGTGGAGGTAGCAATGGGTATTCTCTGAGGAACTGATGGGGATCTTCTGATCTGGACTGCAGTGAGGGGCCAGATCAGATTTTACTAGAAGTTGCAGAAGGGGAGCTGCGAGTGCCCCCTGGGATTTGCTTGCAGACCAACCCAAGGCAGAGGGCTGCTCCTCTAGAAACCCTCCAGTCTTGGCAGACAAGATAGACATACACAAACTGGCTCTTTGCTAATTTTCCTTCTTGTGGTGGTTTTTTTTTTTTGCGGTTTTATAAAATACAGTCCGTTTAAGTTTCACGTTCTTTGCTATGGGGCTGCGGACTGTGCTGCCTGTTTCACGATAGCAGACTTCTACTGAGTCAAAAGGTTCATGCAACAAAGAGCCTTGTTCTTAGGAGCACTCAAATGTGAAATTGCTGATCTCTTAACAGAAACGTGGAACTTGTCCCTAAGACCCCAAGGACTGGAACATGTCCAATGTGACACAAATACGTTTAAAAGGGATTCAGGCGTGGGGGGGGGGACTTGGAAATTACAGGTCGCTTAGCTTAACATCTGTCCTGGGAAAACAGGTGAAAAATATTGTCAAATAAAAATAACCAAGCATATAGAAGAAGAAGCCTTTGCTGAAGCAGAGTCTCACTAACCTACTTAGAGTTCTTTGAGAGTTTAAGCAGGCATATAGATAGAGGTGTTCTGGCTGACACTGTGTTCTTGGACTTTCAAAAAGCTTTTGGCAAAGTACCTTGCCAGAGACTCTCCAGTATGCTTAGCAGTCGTGATATAAGCGGAGAGGTCCTCTTGTGGACCAGGAATTGGTTCAGTAACAAGAGGCAGAGTGTATAAATAAATGAGCAGTTCTGCTGGAGGGAAGGAAGGGAGTCCCCCAGGGACCTGTGCTTTTAAACTTGTTCATAAATGATCCAGAACAGCCTTTCTCAACCTGTGGGTTCCCAGATGTTGTTGAAGTACAACTCCCATCACCCCTAGCTAGCAAGGCCAGAGCTCAGGGATGAAGGGAGTTGTAGTCCAACAACATCTGGGGACCCACAGGTTGAGAACTGCTGATCTAGAGCATGGGTAGGCAACCTAAGGCCTGGGGGCTGGATCTGGCCCAATCGCATTCTAAATCCGGCCCTCGGATGGTCTGGGAATCAGCGTGTTTTTACATGAGTAGAGTGTGTGCTTTTATTTAAAATGCATCTCTGGGTTATTTGTGGGGCATAGGAATTCCAAAATATAGTCCGTCCCCCCACAAGGTCTGAGGGACAGTGGACCGGCCCGCTGCTGAAAAAGTTTGCTGACCCTTGATCTAGAGTTAGGGGTGTGGCCAAGTTTGCTGCTGATTCTAAGTCGTTTAGGTTGCTAAAACAAAAAACGGATTCTGAGGAGCCCAAAAAGAACCTCTGCATACTGAGTGAATGGGTCATAAAATGGCAGTTGAGAGGAATTGAAAATAAAGCTTACCAACATCATAATTCTGTTTTACACATCTGTGGGGTGTCTTCTTTTGGAATGCTTTGTACAGTTCTGGTCACCTTGCCTGAAAAAAGGATGCTGTACAGTTGGAAAAGGCTCAGAAAAGGGCAGCCTTTTAAATGATGATGAAATGATGCCTGACATGGAGACAGTGAATAGAGGGAAGACTTTCTCCCTCTCTCATACCCCTGGAACTTGTGGGCATCCAGCAGAGCTGCATGTTGGAGTATTCAGGACAGAGAAAAGAAAGCGCTTCTCCACGCAGTTCACAGAAGCCCATAGAACAGCCTTCCCCTCAGTTGGCGCCATCCAGGTATTTTGCACTACAACTCCCATCAGCACCGTCCCCATGGAGCTGCACGGATGGGAGTTGTAGTTCAAAACTTCTAGAGGGCACCAGGTTGGGGAAGGTTGCTGCAGAGGTTTTGTCCAGTCAGATACTCTATGGATTTCCAGCCAGTGGTATTGAGAGGTCCATTCGCAAGTGGAATGAATCTGTGTTCTGTTTCCATAGGAAAACGCAGCTTGGATGTGTTCCTTCACTGGATGAGCCAATCGGTGTTGGGAAAAATTGGACTGTGACCCCATTTTTTAAGGAGTTTGTTTAAGATGTGCTTTTACACAACAGCCGGGCCAATCCTCCTTCAGTCAACTGTAATGGAAGTTGCTGGTTATACTTAGTGACTGTAGTAGTTAATGCACAAATGCCAGAAAGCATATTGACTTCCCTTTGCAACTCACTGGTCTGAAAATAATAGCACACCGAATCAAAGAGCCCAAACAGGCACCCAAGAATGTTTTGCATTTTGACCATTCTGGGAAGGTTGACCTGCTAGCAGGTTGCCCAGGGGGATGAACCTGCCACTTCATGTGTTTTTAAATCAGTCCATCACCTTTAGGAGCAAAGGAGGCTGCCGTATAGTGAGTCAGTGCAATGACCCATCATCAGTGTCTACTTCGATTTGGCCAGGCCTCTCTGGGATTTCAGGCAGAGAGAGGTCTCACCCAGCCCTGTCTGGAGAAGCCAGGCATTGACCCTGGGACCTTCTGCAGGCACAGCAAATGCCGGACCACTGAGCTATAGCCCTCCCCCAGCACAGAAGCAGGCAGGTGCACAGGTACGTTGCAGCTCCTTTTTCAGACATGGTCAGCTTAGGATGTGGATGCATTTTTTCTTTCCTTATTCTCTTTGCCTCGTTTTTGAAGTGTGTCCAATAATCTCATAAACGGGGCTCATCTGTCATGGCCTTATGGTTTAGTATGCTTTTTTGGTGGTGTTTTGGAGACCCATTATGATGTATCAAGGAGCATTTTTGTGGTCAGGGGTGCCATCTGGACAACCCGTTTGGAGTGGAGGCAGAACGCAGGAGTTGTGGGCACTTTGGTAAACATCAGCGGCTGCTTTTCTGTTTAAATAACGAGCGAGGGCTGTCAATAGGACTCAGAAGTCCTCTCCAAGCAGAAGGGATACTGAATGTTAAGCCAAAGCAAATATGTGAAACAGAATTCTGGGGAATAAATTATGCAGATGAAGTCCAAACCATTTGTGCACAGGAAGCATTTGCTTTTGGGAGAAAGAAAGCCCTGCAAACATAGTCTTCTCCCATTTGGAACCTTCTCTAGCTGAAGACATAATCTTCTGGGAATATCCCTCTTTTGAGACCTATAGAAATAAACAGGAGAGGCACAGGGCACAGTATTTCTATTATCTATCTATCTAGCAAATGAGGTTAAGTGGACAGGGCACCCCAGGAGATAGGTCACAGCGGGTAATACTCAGAGCAAATTGTTAGAGCTGTTCAGAGGTGCAAAGGTGGCACCTTAATAAGAGCATCAAGAGAGCTCTGAAGCTGGAGAGACCAAAGGGGGCCCATCTAGTCTGGCATTCTGTTCATGCCATGGCCAGCCAGATGCCTCTGAGAAGCCCAAGAGCAGGACACAGGATCACCAGCAGCTGGTGTTCAGAGGCACTTGGATGGCACTGAAGGGCTTGGGAGATGTTGTGCAGTCCCTTGGCAACAAAAATTATCCAGGAGCTGCATTTCGAAGGGGTTAAGTTTAAATCAGTGCTAAAATGCCAGCAGTAACCTTGGGTTTCCAAATGCACGAAGGGGTGAAGCTCCTGCAGTTATCATCTGTTGGCTGGGAGACTCATTGGCATAAATGAAATCAAGAGAGCAGGCTAGAGAGCTTGATCCGCTTAATCCTTCTTCTGCAGACACTGGCTGGCTGCTGCCTTTGGGGCCAACGGGTTTCCGTTGTTTGACTTCGCCCCATCCTTCAGCCTTGCCTTCTTCTCAGGTGGGGCTTCACAGCCGTTTCTTCAAACAGAGCTTATCCTCGCCCTGGGCTTTTGAGAGCTATCTCGTCTCAGCAGCTTTAATTGGAGGGTCCCGCTTTTTGTGGCAGGTGCAGTGGAGAGATTTTAAGCGTCTGTCTAAAGTACCATTGTTGTGCCAGTTCTGGTTCAGTGCAGTGGGAAGCTCCCTTCTTGCAATGAGGCGCAGTTTGTAAGAACCAACAGCAGAGGGTATCTTCTCTGCAGCAAATACAGCCTTGCTGCTGTGGGCTGAGTGTGGATGTGTTTGGAGGGGTGATGGGTCAGTTTACAGCAGGGGTGCCTCACCCCCCGGCCCTCCAGACCACATTGGACTCCCAACTCCCACCATCCCTCCTCATTGGCCATGCTGGATACTAGAGCTGGTAAGAGCTGAGAGTCCAGCAACATCTGGAGGACCACAGGTGTTGCCCATCTGTGGCTTAAAGGGAAGTGTGGTGCTCATGATAGGAGGTGGCAGGTGTTGCTTTTTGCTCTTCAGGAGGATTGCAAAATGTTTACATTGATTGCATATATGAGATTCCTCATAGAACGAATTGTCTTAACAGTTGTGCAAAGGTTAGAACAATAAAACCTCTTACTGGGATTAAAAATCACAATGAAAGGAATCTCTGGAACAGGGATAGCAATAACTTCTGGGTTATAGGGCAGTATATAAATTCAATTATTATTATTATTATTTTTATTATTACAACAACAACTATCCCAACCTTGTCAGTACCACCAGCTTGCGCATCCAAGACTTTTTCCCAGGAAAAGAGCTGAGAATATCCTGAGGTCACCCTCTCTCAGTCAAGGAATCACTGAGACACAGTTTTGGGCCATGTTCTCCTGCTCATTTGCCCTCTTACCTATTCCTTTTGTGAGTTGCTTCTCATGACATATCTTGAATCGATTTCACAGTAAAATCATCAACAATAAAAACAATTGCATATATGCAAACTATCCTGTATGTGCAGTTTAAAACAGCTGCATATACAAAAACAATTTCTAATAGAGACGAAGACTGGGACAACCTGAGTTATATTCACTGGAAAGGTTCTTTGTGTGCATTTTCAGTGAGCGGCAGCCTGCCAGGGAGGAGGCGCAGGAGATGTTCCTGTTGTCATTCAAGCTAAGATACAGAGCTAGCCCTGTTAGTGGACCTAAGAGACAAGGTGGTGAAACAAGAGGAACACGCTGAGATGCCCTTCAGCACCATGGTCAACAGCACCAGCTGTTGCCTGATTCGGCATTGGGATGTGCCAAAGGGCTACCTGCCCCTCCCTGCTTGTGCCTCGGTCCTGTATACCTGAGGAATTTGGTCTAGTTCCCTTGTTGTTATGGTCAGATGGTTCCCTAGTTTAGACTCCATGGGGTGGTGGGGCGTGTGGATGTGATCTGCCTCCAGGGACCAATGGATCCAAATGGTTCTCTAAGGATTCTGGGAAGTGTATTGTAGATGAGGCCAGTCTCTGAAATCAGAAGTTGGTCTGGGTTGTTGACACAATTTCTTTCTATCTAGACACTTGAGGGGAGCCTCTTCTGCTCTGGGGTTTATGCTGAGCTGGGGCTGAGAAGATGGTTGAGATGTGAGCTCAAGCCCCTCTTGTCTAGCATCTGATGGATGTTACCCACCCTGCCTCGCCTCTCCCAGAGCACTGGTCTTCCTCTCCCTGTACAGTCAGTCACTAATGCATTTGCACCCTTCTCCAGAGTAGGAGCCTGTGTGTGTGTGAGAGAGAGAGTGAGTGTGTGTGTGTGTGTGAGAGAGAGAGAGAGAGAGAGAGAGAGAGAGAGAGCGCACACTCTGGTGTGCATTTGACGGGCCGTTTTCTGCTAGAGGCTCAGCTGCATCTTCTGTGGTTTATCCACCCACATGCTTAGGGAAGAATTGCTTACCATACAGTTTATCTGGAGTTCAGAGCTTTACTCTTCAGGAAGTTGGAATGAAGTAGAGAGATAACTAGGATTTTTTAAATATAGAATTATGTATACCTCATAGACATCAAAGCACTTGGCCTACATTGCTGAACTCTTTCTTTATCAGTTTTAATAATTCCTCACTGATTCAGCCCCAAATTAAGTCTTAGCAGTGAATTAAAACTCCAAGCCCCCACAGTGCAGAATGTTTAAACTTCTAACTGGAAGTGGAACCCCAGGGAAAGGCTGTCGCTTTGCCTGCAGAAGCTCCCAGCTTCCTTCTCCAGCTTCATCCGAATAAAGCTTTCTTGAAGAGCTGCTGCAGCTCAGAGTGGACCTCTTCCAACCCCTTCCTCTGTGGATTGTCTTTTGCTACCTTAAATTCCTTGGTATCTAGACTGAAGCCCTATTCTGCCTCCACGAGGAATGCATCCAGAGAGCTTCTGTGTGGCGGCAGCTTGTTCTGAGGAGGCACTGCTATTAGAAAGCAGCTTCCCTGGTGAGGTCGACACAACTGCTTGGAGAGCCTCCCTGTTGGTGCTCTGCATTCCTGGCAGGAGGCTCCTGGAGTCTCTCACGGGTTGTGGCTGTCAGGCCTTTGAACCTGACACTGGACCATCGGGAGGTTCCCCAGGTTAGGTCTGGAGGTGATCTCTTTTTCTTCCTTCCGCTCTGTGGTCTGGGAGTGAGCTTCATGTTGGATGACCTGCCCTGGTGTGGCTTGTCTTTTGAGCTGTCACAGTCCGGTTCACGGGCGATCGAAGTCCTGGCAGGGGACGTGAGGACCGGGGGCAAGATGGCGGGGTGGGAGCAGGAAGGGGGGTCCAGAAGCCAGGAGCCAAGAGTCCAAGGGTCAGAGAGCCGGGAGTCAAGAAGCCAAGGATCCGAGGGTCAGGAAGCAAGGAGTCAAGAAGTCAGGGGTTCGAGGCACAAGATGCAAGGAGTCAAGAAGTCAAGGGTCTGAGAATCAAGAAGCAAGGAGTCAAGAAGCAGAGGTTCAAGGATCAGGAAGCAAGAAGCCAAACGCAGCAAGGCAGGAAACGTGTTGCTGCGGCAAAAAGGGAAATGCTGACCTTATATCCCTTCCCAGCTCTAGCCACCAGGTGCTGTGAGTTACCAATCGGCCTCACCTGTGTGGCTGCGCCTTGCCTCTTCAGAACAAACTTAGGAAAGCCCCAGTCCTGCAAAGTCCTATTGGTCACAGGGCCTGGCTCCTGCACACACACCTAACAGGAGCTACCACACACTCACCTGAGAGAACCAGGGCTTATTTTGGCTTCTCCAGACCCTTCCCTTTCCCCATAATCTTTGGCAACTCCCATCATTCGCCCTCCGCTAAAGCATTTTGGTCATTTATTTCCATCGAATTCTTCTGTGGCCTTTTGAAAATAGCCACACAATCTCTTCATCTCTCTCTCACTCAGAAGGCAGATCAGAAAAAAAAGACGTGTTGATGACAGGTACATGCTCAGAAACAAGGAAGTATAATTGAAACAGCAGGCCAATGTAAACCAAAATAACAGCAGTTACTATGCTGTGACTAATTAATTAATTAAAATGCGTTTTTCCAAACACAACGTACCATAAAAATGGCTAAAAATAGGTTTAAAAACAAACTCACGGTGGGTTTAAAAACAATACAGAATAAGCACCGAAAGCAGAGACCTCTTCATCCAACTGGAAAAGCCTTCCCAAACAAAAACGTACCGTATTTTTTGCTCTATAAGACTCACTTTTTCCCTCCTAAAAAGTAAGGGGAAATGTGTGTGCATCTTATGGAGCGAATGCAGGCTGCACAGCTATCCCAGAAGCCAGAACAGCAAGAGGGATCGCTGGTTTCGCTGCTCAGCGA